AGTCACAAACGCCCAATTCGGATACCGAGTTGCCGGAGACAGATTGCTCTACTCTACAATTCAACACAGAGAATTCACCACTTTGGGAATTGTCAAGAAGGATGTACCATTCCCTCCAGAAGGACACACCAATTCGGCCATCATAACATTTATTAATGTTACTGACCAATATTTGGATGATAATGGTGGTTATGCAACTCTTCTTGAAGGCGGAGTCAACTATAATCACACGACTGTGCATTTGACCAGCCAGAGGGGACATTGTTTTAATTTCCAAATTGATATTTATGGAATGTGATGAGGATAGAGGACTGATTTTTTTGTACTTTTGATTTGTATGTAATAAATTTTATTAAAAAATAGAAAGTTTTGTCATTTATTATAAATTAATATGATGTGTGCTTATCCTACATCTTAACCTGGTATTTTTCTCGAGGGGGAAACTCAGCGGGCTTTTTATTTTCCACTTTTCTATTTTACATTTTACTCACACACACACACACATATATATATATATATACATATTACATTTGTATATTTAATAGTGTTGGTTTTTATATGTTGCAGCAATGCCCACCAAAGGCGATTTTGGTTTGAGATTGTGTTTGAGATTTCGAGATAACCTTAAATAGAAATTTGATATCATACTGCTCGTTATCGAGCTAGTTGGGATCGACGTTTAAATAACAATAGTTTATTTTTTTATATTTGACTCTTATTTTATTGTTATGCAACTATTTGGTGCTTTTCTTATTTTTGAACAACAATCAGAACTTTTCTATGACAACTTTATATTTTAGAATACAACCATGGTTGTTATAATTGATATATTTTTGTATCAGAAATATTTGCACTAGAAGACATATTTGTTTGCACTAAATGACATATTTAAAATTCTTTTTTGCAATTTAATCAAAATTTGGCTATATGTCAAATTTGTCATACTTTAAATAAGAACAGTGTAATATTTTTCTAAATATATACGTCATGATCTAAAATATGTAATGATGAAGTATAATACCCAAGGGTAGACTTATATACCAATACATTATTATGTTGTAATCATTATATATATTGAAATATATCTTTGGAGAAACATTTTCATTTTTTTAATTTATTAACATATTTAGTAGAAACAATTTTTTTTAGATTAATATAAGAAACTAGTAGTCTATGGCTTTAAAACAAACATATTGATTTAATTTTGAGCTTGAAACATTTTTGGAATTTAATTTGGAAACAGCATTCAACCGCAAAATAGAATAATTTAAATTATTTATAATAGTATATCAGAACTATGTAAATAAGGGAAATATAAAAAGTCTAAAGAGTATTAAAAAAGGTTTGAAAAAGTATAAAAATTATTCAAATGTTGCTGATTAATTTGATACATTTTTAGTTTTATGACCATGCAATAAATTTGTGTCTTATTTTTTGTCTATTTAAATTTTGTTTATTTAAAAAACAGCTATATTTAAGAACTACATTTTCAATATTTTGAAAATTATTTTTATGCCTCCTGGCTTAATATCAAATATATTTCAACTAATTGAGCATTCACAACTTTAATATTTTGAACTAAAATATTTGCCAATTTTTTTTATAAATTTTTAAATATTTTTTATACTTCCACGCACCTAATTTCTAATATTTTTTGACCTAAATTTTAGAAATAATTCAGGAACTTCAAATCTAAACTTTAGAAAATTTAGAAAAAAATCACTTTTAAAATATAGAAATATTGAACATTATTTATTCTTTCGATAAGATAAGCAAAATCGAAATTTATGTCAAAATATATTATAAATATATTTATAGAATTAAATGAAAATTGCTTTGAATAAAAACATACATTTTTTCAATCAAAGCAATTTTTATTATGTACAAAAGTAAGTTATATTCAACAAATTTCATTAAATGTTTAAATAAAAAATGTATAAAACTAGTTTTTTGTGTTTTTACCAGTTTCTAAAACGTAAAAAAAATATAAAAAAATAATCAAATATACAAATAGTTATTTATTATATATAAATAATTATTTACATATTCATTTCAAATTTCATATAATTCATACTACTATCAAACAAATTAATCACAAAAATATCAATATCAATAAAACTCATTTTGATTTCAAATGTTAATTAGTATATTCCAAACATGTTTATCAACATTGATTGATATCTAACATTTACACGTGCGATTAATTATGAATCATGATCAAAATAATTGAATTTTGTAATACAAAGATTTTGTACCTATAAGCAATTGTGATGATTTTCATCTAACTCTGTCAGGAGGCAACCCAACGGTTGTCTTATCTCTATGTAATAAATTATATTATTACTATTTTTGTAATTTTAATGTATTTTAATTGTAAACGTTGTGCTAACTATATTTCCAAGTAAAACCAGATGTTACTACTGCTTGACATCAGGTTGTCCCAGACGGGTATCGAGTTTACAACCTGGTTGGAAGAAATATGGATCTAACCACTAGACCACGGGGAAGCCGACAAATATAAATAAATATAATATTTTACATTGGTTCATTATTACATTAACTAATTAGTATTAATCATTATTCAACTTTCTCAAATACTTCGTTGAGTTGATTCATATTAATGTAGCCCTTGGCATGCATATCAAACATTGCACACATTAAGTCCAGATTTTCTTCCTGTTTTCGAACTGCATATAAGAACTAAAATAAAATATTTATATCTAAAATAAATATTTTTTTGATAAAAACAGCAATTTGCAAAATAAAACTTATAACAAAAAGCGTCACTTACTACTGCAAGAATCATCCCCAGAAAAATAACGCCAACCATACAATTTAGTATAAGATTGCTCATTTCAGTCGACATCTTCATATCAAATTTTTATAAATACCCAATAATACTTTTTAATATATTTTGATAAAATTAATAACGACACTGAACATCGATGAATATTTTTTAATAAACACATATGACACGTATCATGATAACTCTATCTATTGCGGATTCAGAGTTCGAATAAAATTTCAAGGTTGAATCATTATGACTGGTTTATAGGTGAATTAGTACGATATCTAAAATAATTTTATGATATTTCAACTTGCAGCTTAGTCCCTCGGGCAGCCTGATGTCAAGCAGTAGTGAGATCGGTTTTCCCTTGAAAATATAGATAGCAAGATCTAAATAAAAATAGTCCTTCTTCGTCATTGCTGCATTAATAATAAGCCAACACTAGTACAATTATTTTAATAATTAATTTCACAGTTAGTAATATTACAATTACTATAAATAATTTCGTAAGATAAATTCATCTTTTTTGCAGCAAGAAATCAGAAATAATTAAACAAAATAACAACAGAAATGAAATTAATAACTAACTAAACTAAATGAAAAATACTAAACAAAATTAAAAATGTATCAATTCACAGAGTTTTATTCGAAACTTACGAAATTATCAAAATCTAAATTTTTCATTAAAATGCAATTTATGAGGTTTTGTCAAAAACAGTAAATAAAGTAATACCATAAATCAATCATTTCTCTCATAACAATCATTAACTTTCTTACAATTAGTAACAAAATTTGCCAAAATCATCTGAATAAATGTGAAATTTATTAAATCTATCAATCATCACTTTTATTTGTACGATGTTATATAACTAGAAATAAAAGTTTCAAAAATGCATATACTAGTTTAGGAAAACAAACAAACACACATCTAGTAAAACTAAAAGAAGTTACGTAAAAAATACGACCCATATTGTCGTGCAGTTTTTTCGAATACAAATTTTAAAATTTTAATTAATAAATATTATTTAAAAATTAATTCGAGCGCACAATTTCATGATAATTTTTCAATTCACACGAATAAACTTAAATCCAATATATAAACAGCTTCCTTGAATATCTCTTATCAATTTGATAACATCTGCAATTTATGTAATAATAATATACATTTAACGAAAATTTTCTACTTTAACAAAACACTTCCAGATAAAAATATATCTCACACAAATAAACTGATCGATATAAAAATTAATGATAAAAAATTGATTGGTCGCAAAAATTGGTGATTCACGCGATAGATAAGAAAAATGCTTATCTTTAGGAAAAATGGATAGAAAACCTTATGTCGGGGTAATGAAAACATTGTAAAATATTATTTTAATATATTAGTATAATGAATAGTATAATTAATCGACAAATGGTATAATAAATCGACAAATGGTATAATAATTTGTATATTACTATTAGCATTGATGTTAAAAAATTCAGCATAATACTTTGCATTTATTATTGAAGTAAATCGTTTTGAAAATTCTATACACTTAAGCAAATATAAAACACTATTAAATTTATATGTGAAATAATTATCATCATAAACCCATACAAAATTCCTTAATGTTAATAATTTTTGAGAAAGTTTGATTAATTATTTGTAAATTTAAATCAGATCTATATTATAAATTGTACAATAAATAAATATGTAAAAGATCCAACAAACAAGTAATAGAATCTATTTTTCACTTTTTTGAACACGGAATATGTTTAATGATTGGTTTAATTCACAGTTAAAATGTTCAGATTTTGATTAAAACGCATTTCAATAGATTTTTACAAATATTGGAGCCAAATCATCAAATTTTGCATTAAAATCCATCTCTTTAATTATTTTGAACCAAATCTTTTATTAATACCTTGCTCAAATATGCTCTAGTAATTTAAAATAGAATACTATGATGCTATAAATATTGAATCATAAAAAATACTCATAATAATATTAACTAATAATACATAAGTATAAATTTTTATTTTTATTCCTCTAAGATGACTGCAAAATTTTTTAGGAGCTTTGCAAAAAGTTGACCACACCTGTTCAACATGCCAAACAATCCTCATATACAATTACCAAGAAGCACCTTGATAACACCTGTTTTATCACATATATAAAACAATATCATTAGCAAAAACTTCAGCAAAATAATTCAGTTACCATTTCTCACCATGGCTTTCAACAAATTAGTTCTCGGCTTAGCAGCCATCGCCGTTTTGGTGGCAGTGGCCAATTGCCAAAGTCACAACATGCTTTGGGGCCAAAGGACAGCCGGTGATAGATTATTGTTCAATTCAATCGAATATGAAGAATTCAAGCCATTGCAAGTAGTTAAAAGAGATGTCAAGTTCCCTAAGGATGGACAATTTAATTACGCCACCATCACCTGCATCAATGCCACTGATCAATATGTGAACGACAATGGAGGTTATATTTCTCTTTTGGAAGGAGGTGAGGATAAAAAATTATAAAATTCATTTTTGGTAATAGACATATATAAGATGCAAGGAAGATATTGTTATAAGTTTACTGTCAATCCTCCCATAACGCGGAACTCTTACAGCGCGGTTTTTGTTCAACAGCCTACTAAGTTCTTTCAGTGCAACTTTAAAATTATTCTGGTACTAGATATTGTAGTAAATGGTTTTAATATAGGTTTTATTAATAATTTACGTTTATATAAATATGCTATTTTATGATATATCTGTGTACGACATTGGTTTTGTAGTGTCAGAGCTTTTCCTTTAAGATTTCTAAAAAAAAGTCTTATTGAATTGTTTTGTTGGAAAACAGTTTTTTGGGTTGGCTTTTGTTTCGTGTTCAACATATCCCAATTCCTATTTTCTATTGTCATAATTTCTGCTACATATTCTATTGTAATACTGAAAATTTTTAACTGTGGTTTTAGTATTGAAAAACATGTGTAAATTCTAATTGACTAAAAATTGTATAAATTTCAATTGTTGTTTATCCATTAACATTTCTGAATGAAAGTTCTATACTCAAAAATAAAATAAGCGTAAAAGTATGTTTTAATTAATTAACTTAAAACAAATATTTTATAGCGATGTATCAATTAGCTAAATAGTTCCAATTTGTTTCCAATTTGTTCATTTACATTAAGATTATTTTATTTGCTTAGATTTATTGTCAATCAAAATAATATACATTTTTTAGACAATATACTAGGTGTTAATGCATTCAAGAGATTAACTCCTATAAGATATCTATTTTTTATTTTTTTAACATTTTATTTAAGATCGTATGGCCTTTTTTTCAATCTTCGAGTAGGAGATTCCTCACTTAATTCTTTTAAATATTTGTTTTGGTGACCTGGTAATTTTTCGTGGTATTTCTTGCTCATTTGTTTTATCATTTCATTAATAGTTTTATTTTTTAAGTCTTAAGATTATTATAATAATTAGATTTATCATCCCAACTTCAGAGAACATCTGCATACTTTATACATTTTAAAATATTTTTTTTTATAATAATTTATAATATAATTTTAAAAAATTATTTTATTTTTCAGGTGTAAACTACAACCACACAACTCTCCATATCAAAAGTCAAAGAAATCACGGATTTAACTTTATGATTGATATTTATGGATTTTAAAATTGTTTTTTTATGTTATAAGTTGTTTTTGTTAAAATAAATATTTTAAATAAATATATCAGTATTTTATAATTAATAATTTCTATATATTATATCGAGTCTAGTTAATAAGCACATTCTTAATAAAAAGATCTTAAAACAATATCATTATCGAATATTTCGTTTCAAACATTTATGTAGTACAAAAAAATGTAAGAATTTTTTTTTTAATTCACAAAAATACAAAAGCCGCTTTATAGATCACTCAAACTGATTTTCTAGAAAACTTTTGCCTTAGAATATTAAAAAAAAGTTCATTTTACATAAATCTCTTTGCATCTCAAAATTTGTATCAAAGGTAAAATGATTTTATATTTTAACATATTTTTTATTCTGTAATTCTTACTTATTCTTTTAGAATATATACACACACATATATATATATATATATACATAATTCATTCTTACATTTTTATCATAATTAAATACGTCATTAATTAAATAATCTTTCTGTGCGTTTGTTGAATAATTATTCACTAAAAGATAAGTTATGCGTTATTCTATAAATAATAACTTATTCGACATGATGTTGTGAATAATTTGAAAAATATTTACACAAATTAAAATAATATTAGTACAAACTCATAAAATCTTATATTTCTAGTATAAACAAAATTAGTCAAATTAACTAATTAAAAGAAATTAGAGATAATTTTCTATTCATTATTTTTTATAAAATAAATCTGTATTATATATATATATATATATATATATATATATATATATATTTTGCAATCGAGCCAAGAACAATTTGTCACATTGGAATTCAAGAATCTTGCTCTATACAAGTATCCTTGAAAAAAAAATTTTTTTTAACTTAATTAAATCTTTTTTTAAAACTTATTTCGTAGTACTTAGAGATATTTTTTCAAAAAATTCAGCAAAACTCTGTTTTTTATAATAAAATTCCTTCAAACTGGTTTACGCAATAATTCGTACTTAATACTTAGAAATAATTTTATAACAACTATTATTTTCATATCTACTATACATTATTTTTCATATCTATTATTTTGGCTGTTTTTTTTTTTGCAAATCAAGCTTAAATCTGTTTTTATATTAAAATTTAATCAAACTGGTTTATGCAATAACTCTTATCAAATACAATGTAAAAAAAATAATTGATCTAATCAAACTTTAATATTTTTGGTTAATTTATAGTCTCAACAAAATCAAAAATATTTTATAGTATTATTGTATAAAGTCTCTAAATTATTCAAAAAAATCACTGAACAATTTTTGTGATAAAGAGTTATTTGAACTGATTTTGAATAATTTATTTATTTATTCTTAATTATTTATTATTGATTTCTATTCTCACCTTTTTTGAACAGTACTTCTTACTAAGAAATAAGATTTTTATGGGTTGACAGTGCAAAAAATGCTAGTGTAAAATTTGTTCATAATGGTGAGTTACTGATATAATGTATATAGGTAGAACCAAGTACACTTCCTTGCGGTACTCCTGATAACATTCGATAACAATCGGTCCTTATTGTGCTCATGATGATCTATTCTATAAATAAAACCTCAATAACTGATTCAGAAAAAAGAAAGTATTTGCATCACTAAATTCGCAGAATAAACCAGCGTCAGTGTCTAGAGAACAGTATAAATAAATCAAACATATTGTAAATGAACGCATTTTAAATTAAAGCAAAACGAAGTGACATCTAAAATAATATATTAATTATATAAAATAAAAAAAATCATCATGATAAAAATTCATCTCATCGTTTTATCAATTTTTGTAATTTTGGTGCCAATAGTAGTAGATTCTCTTGGTCACGGTATAATTTGGGGTCAAAAAACAACAAATGATCGATTATTATTTAGTACTATAGAAGATCAAAAACCGAATTCAGGACTGACTCCAGTAAGAGAAGTGATTTTTCCAAAACCTGGACAAAATAATTCTGCAAAAATCACTTGTATTGAAGTCATTGATGAATATTATCGGTGCAGAGGCGGTTATGTAACTTTGTTGGAAGGTGGAGTGAATTTTAATTATGTTAAATTGAGAATAAAAAGAAAGTGGAATAATGGATTTAGATTTAAAATAAATATATATGAGTAAAATAAAAATGTGAATGGAGTTTTAATTTAACAAATAATAATTAATTATGTGTGTGCGTATGTGTGGAGACAATTTTTGGTCGACGATTTCAGGCGCACGGATCAACCGATTTAAATTGCTCAAAAAACATTCGATTTCTATTAATAGATAGATGTGCTAATTAGTTTTTAGCAAAGACAGGCCCGGCCGTTAAGGAAAAACGGAGCAAAGAGTGCAGAAAATAGAAATCGAGGTTTTGAGAGAACGGATTAACCGATTTGAATGATTCAAAAAACTCTCTGCTTGTGTTGGCGAAACGATAGCTCTTGGAAAAAAAATTTTGTTGATTTTTTTTAGATTTCAAATAAAAATTTTTTTTTTTTGAATATCAAAAATAATTTGGATGTTTATTCTAATTTTAATTACTATTTAAATAATTTCAACTTTGCAATTCAATTTAAATTATTCTCATGTTAGAAATATTAGACTAAAAATTAAAATAATATTAGATTAAATATTAGTTTTGTTTATTTACTTTTTACAAAATAATAATAATGAAAGTAACATTATTCATAATATCCTCGAACATTTTATTATGGTGCAGGAAGTTCCAGCGAATCTCCTTTGTTTTATATTGTGACATGTGTGATATATTATTTGAGAATGTGAGTAATATTAACTTATTTGTTCAGAAATGTCAATACTTTTATCACAGTAGACTAGAACCTTGTTGAGACGATTTCCCGCATAATACGCCACTTTATAAATGTTCTTGTACTTTAAAATATCTTTGATCCTAATACAATCGTTTTAACTGCATTTTAATTATTTAATAATAAAATACTTCTAAATAAAATGTGAGAACTTTTACTGGGTTTACTACCCATATTATTTTTTCTTACATTGCTTTTTCATATATTTTTTATACCTAAAGGGCTTATTTTGATACCCTTAACAAATAGCTTCACATTAACATATGGACACAAAAAGTAAATTAATGTTCTAGATAACGACAAAAGGATTCGATTATAAAATCCCTTTACAAAGAAAAATATCCTTAGAGAACGGATACATTTTTTCATTTCGATAACATTACATGAAAATCGTTTTAGAACTATGCGATTAAAATGAGTTTTTTTTTAAATTCTGGTAGCCACATTAGAGAAAGATATTTCGATAAAAGTTCATTTAAAAATAGTATAAAAGTGCATGATATGATAGATAGAAATAATAAACACCTGTATAAAGATTTAACAAAATAAATCGATATAAAGGTCTTATATCTTATTGTTAGTTCATATTATGAAAACATTTTTCATAATATGAACTAACAATAAGATTTGTGTTTTAAATATACTGACAAAAGTCGTTTGCAATAAGCAATATTATTTAGTAGATCTCAATAAGTCGCATAAGGAACAACAATTTTCAAAACATTTTTCACTAACAAGTTCTCGAAGAAAATTTTTATTTTTTTAATTTTTTATTTTCAAACTAAAATTTCAGTATCAAATTTTTTAATTTTGGTATCAAACGATTCAGAATGACTGAACATATTATGAAAACTGTAAACTAGCACCCAGGATTTTTTGGCAAAAATATAAAAAAATTCTTCGAGAAGTTGTTAGTGAATAATGTTTTAAAAATGGTTGTTTATTATGTGAGCCAAAATACAACTTTCTTTGATAATTTTTTACAAACGGCTGCAACGATTTTACAAAGCCATTTGTTAAAAAAAATCGTAAAGCATGTCGTCCAAATGGTTTTAAATCCCAAAACAACAAAATCCACATTTTTCCATTCGTGAAAGTTACCATAATGTCGCCTAATTTGCATATAAAATCTTACCCATTAATTCAATAATAATTAAAATAAATTACATCTAAAACAGACATATATTATTATTTATTTTATATCAGTTATGTATTTCCTTATTCATAACTTGTATTTTTTTCTCCATTTATGTCTCCATTACACGCAACATAGATTTATCTCATGAATATTAATAATTTAGCGATTCTCGATATATGTAATTTATATCGATATTATTAATTTATCATTCGATAATATTGAATTTATTGCAGCCTCAGGCTATTTGTATTGAGACGTGATTTGATTGCAAAGTCGATATAAATCAGAAATTGATCTAAATGAGATTTTTTATGAGATGATCGAGAAACTTGATAGCTGATAAAATCAAGATAGACAACTTATTAAAGAAATTTCTGTGTGGTAAGTGAAAGATTTTAATTGAATTAATGAATTATTTGAAAAATAGCAATGCACAGAACGTAAAGTGAAGTAGAGCAAAAAAGTCCTACACAAGTATCTCAAAAAAACTAAGTAAATTTTGGTATTTTTAACACACTATTTTAAAGTAGAGGACAAAAAATGTGTAACTGTTCATTGGTTCAAATCGTGCGACGTCAATATCAGAAGATAAACGACTACATTGCCACTTTTTTATGGGAGTATTTTTTTCGTTGGTTCTTTTGGTTTTGAGTACTGTTGTTTAGTTTACGATACCTGAATATAATTTTTAAGTACGTTATTTAATTGTCTTATAAAGTGTGTTGTTATCCTTAACTTAGATCCAACAGCTTTATCATATTACTTCTATAAACCTTTGGGGTGAAAGGCACCAAGTAAAAAGTAAAATAATTTAAAAAAACAATTTTACAAGATATAAATTAAATTAATAGTTATTCCAACTCTGATGATAAATATTTCTGATGAATATGCTTGTATGCAGTGTGATTTTTTGGAAAAAATGCTCTCACAAAATGTGCATTTCAAGAAGTTGTATTTATCTTCTATGTGATAATGATAGTTCAAGAAACATTGAGTTTGTTTATGATAAATTAAACAGAAATATCTATTATTGTTCAAAATTATGTTATTCAAC